TATGGTTCGTTGCGCATAATTCTATTTGCGAGTGTCAGTAGGAGGTGCTAGACAAGATGATCTGTCACCCGACCGTCTGCGAATACACAATTTTAGGGTCGAGTATGGCATAAAATATGTGATTTGTAGTCTTAGATTCATGCCACTCGTTTTTCTAGAAAATGGGAGTTCTAGTTTGAATCTCCGCTCTCCGCCAGCATACAGGGGAGGAAGACATAACGTGTAGTATGAGTACGATCAAAAGGTATATTGGATATTATTGTATGTATGAATTTTAGCCCACTAGGTTTATGATGACAGTGCTCCAGGCATGCCCCATCTTTCATCATGTAGCGCCGAGACTCTCGCCCTCTCGCAATAGTCGTTACTGTGTTAAAGTATAGATAGGTAACACGCTGTGTGGTTCCTAAGATTCATCTGCATCTTTTATAGTCTGAGCGATTCTGAATTTCCTTTTTTTTTTCTTTGGTTTTTTTGGTCTCTTGCATTTGCGATTATGAGACATTCGCAGCGAGCTTAGGCGTGAACCTCAAGGGCTTACCTGTCATCCAAACATTCCAGAAATTTCCATTCTTAATTCACCTGTTGTGCACTACTTACCCAGGAGGGTTCTCACTCTGTCTCCGCAGTGGCTGTTGAGTGCAGGAATGCTATCGATCAGCTCACTGCCAAGCTCTGCGCTCCCGCGTTTCCACGCACTTCGTCCTTGCCTCAGCCTCCTGAGTGCTGGGACTACAGGCGGCCCCGCCACCAGCCCGGCTATGTTTTGTAATTTTTTTGAGTTACGACCGGGGTTGGCTAGACCAGACAAGTAGTGTGTGTGGCCACCTGTTGTTCTCGCTGACTTAGACTGCGGATGGCTCATTTAGCTTGTGACCATCGTGATCCGCCATCTCGGCTTAAGTATTTATGGGGCCTTCTTGCTTCCCAAATAATTCCACAACCAAATTACACCTAGGATAGTGCAATGATATATTATACTTGGAGGCAAAGAATCCCAGGGCTCTGGCTCTTCTCCACCACTTAATAACTGTGTGAAGTCCCAGCTACTTGGGAGGCTGAGGTGGGAAGATCACTTGAACTCAGAAGTTCAAGGCCAACCTGGGCAACATAGCGAGACCCCATTTCTAAAAATATAAATAAATAATGATGTGACCCTTGAACAAGTTTTATGACCTCACAACCTCATTTGGCACATGTATATAACGTATCACCACCTCAATGAAGGGAGGTGGCTGAACCAAATTATTTCCTGAACACTTTCATGCTTTAGAATCTGTAATTGTTTTAGCCCTGGTTCAGGAGTTTCTAATTCTGTGCCTGCCTCAGTCATAGCTTTGAGTCCTGAGCCATGCAAGAAGAACATGAAAGTGTGGCTCCTGCTGGAATGTATTCTTGCTTGATCATTAATACTTGGGAGAGTCCTTAATTCTGGCATTCGTCAGAAATCAAACTTTCAGAATCATGGAGTTAGGATACACAGTTTAATGACCATATGGTTTGCCCCATAGGGATCTTTTCCGTATGGATTTCCAGAGAAAATTATTTGACAGTTTTTAGCAATAAATTTTAGTTTTTCAGTTACTACTTTTAAAGGGTTCCTCCATTTGTAACTCCAAGTGTGTGTTTTCAAAACAAAATTGTTCAAAACCATTCTGTCCTATAGTGAGTATATAACATCCTTTTGAATCTGTTTTGTAAGTGTAGGGGGAGCAGGGATGGTGGCTGCCATTGCCAGGGATGGTGCTGGGTTCTTTACTTATATTATTTATTCCTTGCAACAAGCCTTTGAAGTTTTACACTTACTTGATGGGGAAACTGAGGCTCGGGGGTATATTTATTTGCCCAAGTTTGTGCAGTTAGTTATTAGGTGGCAGAGCTGGGATTTTAATCCAGTTTCTACCAAAACTCTGCTCTTAATGTGCATGGGTGAATGGATAGAAATTTCACATTCACTTTTAAAGAAACCAGTTTCCTATATTGCTAATTTTATTTACAAAACTGATATGTATATGTGTGAATGTGTGTGTATATATATACTTTTTGTGTTTATATATATGTGTGCATATATATACACATATATACACATTGTGTCCATATGTGTGTGTGTGTGTATATATATACTTTTTGTATATATATATACCTTTTGTGTTCACAGTCTGTTTATTAGATAGTCAAGAAGGGGAGGAAAAGGTTATTTTTACATATATAGTTTAAGACACACAGAAGCTTTTATTTATGACTAGAAATGATTTTTCTCCTTGATTAGGTGTCTGTCCCTAAAGAGCTGGTGGCACTTATGAGTGCTATTCGTGATGGAGAAGTACCTGACCCAGAAGACCCAAGCAGGAAAATATACAAATTCATCCAAAAAGTAAGATCCTAGGGTCTAGATTTTTGTTTTCATTGGCGGTAAACTACAGTTAGCTTGTACACATCCAGAGGGCAAACTTACTTTTGAAATATTTCAGAATTTTGAGAACAGCTTTTGGTTTTTGTCTTCATTTCTTTTTCTTTTGTGCTTTTAAAGGGTTTTGTTCTACTTACAGATTGTTGTATTGAAGAGAGGGTTTGCTGTAGAGACAGAGTAGGGAGTGTGCCTGTTTTTATTTTCCCTCACTCCAGTCAGGGGCTGGCTTCCTGTTCTTTTGTGTTCTTACGCATTCACCTGCCCTGGTACTACAGTGGGGGCAAGTGGCTGTTGAGAGTGTTAAAAAGGGAGGAGTCAAGACCAAAAAACCACTCAATTACCGTCCTGGTCATTAGACATGTATCTTTGACCTTCAATGTGTATGCATGTGTGAGAGTGTGTGTGTGTGTGTTTTCTTAATTGACCTCACAATGGATAATTTGACTCCCACTGCAGCTTCTGTTGTTCCAAGCTCCCATAACTTTGGCATCTACTTATTGCCGGGTTACTCTGTGTGTCTCTACAACATGCCAGTAGTGCTTTGAAACATAAAGGAATAAAAAAAGAAAACCAAAACCTTTTAAAAGTCAGGAGGAAAAAGGCAAACACATGGGGAAAGCACTTCCTGTAGGTTACTTTTTGAGAAATGCTTAAAATGCACCTTTTAATAGCATGTGTGATCTTGTTTTTCATGTGTGAGAAGCTTTTTGTTCCTAGCAGAATAAAAGGCAAATAGATGTTTTGAACAATGTTTTGTATCACAATTTCAAGCTATATGTTAAAGATGAGAACTATTTCAGAAGTATAAAAGCAAAGTTATCACTACTAATATTAGGGGATTTGAAAGGGAATTTACTTAAATATGAATTGTCTTACTGTGTAACATTTGTGAACACTAATGCAAGCACGTGGTGTGTGTGTGTGTTTGCCCTCTTTAGGTTCCGATACCCTGCTACCTGATTGCTTTAGTTGTTGGAGCTTTAGAAAGCAGGTGAGCTTTTGGAAAAATTTTCAGGTTTGTGGAAAGATCAAAACTGAGGCATCTTGAACCTCTCTCAAGGTTAATTGGTCGATCATTTGCGTATTTCTCAAGATATCGAGCTGAAAGCTCTAGAAAAATTCAAATCTAAATATAAAATGTAGGCAACAAATTAATTTTACATTTAAAAATCTTGACCAGTTACCCCTTAGATTTTTCAAGTATTGTAAAATGAGCGTGCTCTTACCTTTGGAGATCTGAATTCTCATGTAAGCTTGAACAGGTCACTCTCTTAATCTCTGTTTCCTTATCCTTGAATTTATAATGTCTGACTTTCTACCTCATAGGGTGGTTATGTGAAACAAATGAGATAAAGTACATTAAAGCACTTGGAAGCCTACAAATATTACATAAATGTAATATATTTTATTAATATTTTACCAGTAGAGTACCCTTCCTTCTTCTTTTTTTGTTCACTCTCAGTTTTAAGCACACTTAGCGGTTTTTAAATGTGCAGTTCAGTAGTGTTAAGTATATTCACATTGTTGTGAAACAGATCTTCAGAAATTTTTCATTTTGCAAAAGTGAAACTCTGCACCCATTAAACAATAGCTCCTCTTTTCCCTCACCCCCCCGGTCCTTGGTAATGCCCATTCTATTTTCTGTTCCTACGAATTTGACTACTTCAGATACCTCACATAAGTAGAATCATACAGTATGATTTTATCTCTTTGTGTCTGGCTTATTTCATTCAAGGTATAATGACCTTAAGGTTTATCCGTGTTATAGCATCTGATAGTATTTCCTTCATTTTCTATTTGTTTCTTCTTATATAAGAGTATTCAACCTTTAAGTGCATAACAAAGTTTATACCCATTCCTGTTCTAGAATAATCTTGTAGAACAAGATTATTGGGCTCTGTGGCTCACGCCTGTAATCCCATCACTTTGGGAGGCCAAGGTGGGAGGATCACTTGAGCCCAGGAGTTCGAGACCAGCCTGGACAACATAAGTGAGAGCATGTCTCTACAAAAAAATCAAAAATTAGTCGGGCATCGTAGTATATGCCTGTAGTCCCAGCAACTCAGGAGGCTAAGGTGGGAGGACTGCTTGAGCCCAGGAGGCGGAGGCTGCAGTGAGCTGTGATGGCCCCTCTGCACTCAGCCTGGGCAACAGAATGAGACCCTGTATCCAAAAAAAAAAAAAAAAAAAAGCTGGGTATGGTGGCGCACACCTGTAATCCCAGCACTTTGAGAGGCTGAGGTGGGCGGATCACGAGGTCAGGGGATTGAGACCATCCTGGCTAACACAGTGAAACCCCATCTCTACTAAAAATACAAAAAAAAAGAAAAAGTTAGCTGGACGTGGTGGCGCGTGCCTGTAGTTCCAGCTACTCGGGAGGCTGAGGCAGGAGAATGGCATGAACCCTGGGGGGCGGAGCTTGCAGTGAGCTGAGATCACGCCACTGCACTCCAGCATGGGTGACAGAGCAAGACTCCATCTCAAAAAGAAAAAAAAAAAAAAATAGAATAGTTTCTTATGAGTTGTGACTGGGTTTCTATAGTTATGAAATTGAGAGATGAAATGAGACCCTCAAGAGGTCTTACAAGAGGCAATAAACTAATTGGGGACACTTTGTGTCCTGGTTTTTTTCCTTTGGCCCAGCCTGTACCTCCTTAGAGAGCTGCATATCTGTTGCTGCATATACAACAGCAGGTTTGCAGCTCAGGCCATGTAACCTCATCCCTTTCCCATAAGCACATGGTAAATGCACTCTCACTGTAAAGGTTTGTCTACAAGACATTAAATACTTTTTAGAACCAGACGAATCATTTGCTGTGAATTTCTTTTTTATTAAGCTTTTTAATCTTGCAGGCAAATTGGCCCAAGAACTTTGGTGTGGTCTGAGAAAGAGCAGGTGGAAAAGTCTGCTTACGAGTTTTCTGAGGTTGGTCATGCAGTTTTCCTTTGTAGTCACCGTGATAGACAGTAGATTGAAGATTTTGAGTGTGAAATGTGATGGTTTTAAGTGATACCGGGAAAGAATCAGATTGTCTTTTATGTAGATGTGCAGTTGCTACGTTCTTTTTATCATTTTCATTTAAAATTAGAGTCATTAACTTGTAACCTTCATAGAAAGCAATATACAATTTTAAGAAATGTACAATGGTGATAATTAAGACGTACAAACATATGTGTTGATTTTTCAGACTGAATCTATGCTTAAAATTGCAGAAGATCTGGGAGGACCGTATGTATGGGGACAGTATGACCTATTGGTCCTGCCACCGTCCTTCCCTTATGGTGGCATGGAGAATCCTTGCCTTACTTTTGTAACTCCTACTCTACTGGTAAGTGTAAATATTTCTTCATTTGAAATTGATGTCTTTCAAAAATAAACTTAGCTAGAAAAAACCTTAAGAGTCCTAATAATATGAATATATATGTAAAGAACCTTAGAGTCCTAATAATGTGTATATATATAAATCTTTTCACTTGTTCATGTTTCTAATTGTTCTTGTTTCTAATTGTATTGTTTATTGTGGTTATCACAATCTCGTTTTTTTGTTGTTGTTCTTTTGAGACAAAGTCTCGCTCTGTTGCCCAGATTGGAGTGCAGGGGCGCAATCTCGGCTCACTGCAATCTCTACCCCTGGGTTCAAGCGATTCTCCTGCCTCAGGCTCCTGAGTATCTGGGACTACAGGCACGCACCACCATGCCCAGCTAATTTTTGTATTTTTAGTAGAGAAGGGGTTTCACCATATTGGCCAGGATGGTCTCGATCCCCTGACCTCGTGATCCACCTGCCTTGGCCTCCCAAAGTGCTGGGATTACAGGCATGAAGCACCGCACCAGGCCTCCATCTCGTTTTTGAAAGGAAAATAATCTGGCCATTTGAGGAAGGAGAATATTATGTTCACGGTATTTGGGGACGTTGAGCATGGGGGTGCTGTGTAACAACAATTCATTGATAAATTATGTATCCAGACAGACTATATCAATTAGTCTGTAGTTACAATTAAAAAAAATTTAATGTGTGTAGGTACAATTAAAAAAAAAATCAGTACACCATGTATAGGAAAGGATTAGGGCCATAGTACACTGCTATGTTTAATATGCCTGTGAGCTACTTTAAATTCTTCCTAGAACCTAAGTGAGTGATGGACTAGCAAAAACATAAATAAAATACAGCACAGGACACATAGGACCCTCTAAAGTTTTATTAAATATATTTGGGGTAATAGGTGAGAAAGAAAGTGAGGGGTAAATAAGAGCAGATGTAAAAATGGAAGTAGAAGAAATGTTTCATGGAAGTTAGACACAAATAGACTGGCTTTCATTGTATTGCAAAAATTCCCTAGAATTAGGGCAAGAAAGAATGATGCTAATTTTTAGTTCCGTATTTTTTTGTTTTTTCAATTAAGGTCTCTTTTACCTTCTTTGAAGTGCTGTAGTAGAAATACAGTGGACCACCAGTGCCAGTATGCTAAGTGTTTAGGTAGGCAGTCTTTTAGATAGTCTGTAATTTGATTACTAAAATACTAAGATAATTTTCTTTTTTTTGTAGGCAGGTGACAAGTCACTCTCCAATGTAAGTTAAACTTTTTCATTATGGCCTTATCTTCAAGAAGTATTACTTCAACTGATTTTAAAATAGCCCTCGTATTTTTATGTTAAAGAGATGGTTATGAGGGACAATTTGGGGACTCTTGTCGCATTATTATATTAACAATTATATTTAATAGATTTAAGAAAAATTTATGGTTTGATCTTTTCATATATTTATGAAATATTTTTAATGCAGTGATGTATCTATTTAATATTTTCTAAGTAATTTTTGTTTTCTAATTACTTTATGCCACATTTGAGTGTATGTGTGTGTGTCTTTGGTTAAGTTAAAGATTTTGCTGAACTGAATAACTCCCTGAATACCTCAGCTAATGTTTTCAAAAAATTGAATAACATGGAGTGTTTAGAGAATGGGTTGTTTTAGGTTAAGATAATCAGTCTTACTATTAATCACACTGTTTTCTTTAGGTCATTGCACATGAAATATCTCATAGCTGGACAGGGAATCTAGTGACCAACAAAACTTGGGATCACTTTTGGTAAGATTTTTGTTATTATTTCTTTATTGGTTCTTGTTACTGACTTTTTTTTCCCTGCCTCCTACCACTCTGAATTGTTTTGTGTGTGTCTCTTGTTTTTCTTTGTTATCATCTCTTTGGTAGGCAAGAATTTTCTTTCTTTTCTTCTTTCTTCTGAAGAGGGATCTCACCCCTTGTCACCCGCTAGAGTGCAATGTCGATCTTTGGTCACTCGCAACTCTGCCTCCAGGTCAAGTCCCGAATTCTCCCTGTCTCAGCCTCCCGAGTAGCTGCGATTCAGGCACTGCCACCCACCAAACCAGCTAATTTTTTTGGATATTTATAAAATGGGTTCACCGGTTCCCAGGCGTTTCCGAACTCCTGAGCTCAGCCACAATCCACCCCGCCTTGGCCCCCCAAGAATGCAGGATACAGCGTGAAGCCATGCGCCCGGCTATTTTTTTTTTTTTATGGAGACAAGTCTCACTCTGGTTGCCAGGCTGAGTGCAGGTGCGATCTCCACTAACTGGCAACCCAGGGTTGCAACTCCTCCTCGCCTCAAGGCTGAGACTATCGGCACATCCACTCAAGCCACATTCACAATTTTAATAGAGAAATCACCTAATTTGCCCAGGCTGACTCGGAACTCCTTAGCTCAGTATCTGCCCAACCTCGGCCTCACCAAAGTGCCTGCGAATTACAGCATTGAGCCTGCCCACCCCACGACAAACACACCAAGGATTTTTTTTTTTTTCTTGAAGATGACGAGTTCTCACTGTCGTCCAGGTCTGGATCGCCGTAAGGCAACTCTCTCTGCCCTTCCCTATTCAGCGATTCTGTGCTCAGCCCGCAAGTATCTGGGACTAACAGGTGCCTCCACCATGCCTCAGCTCAATTTTTTATTTTTAGTAAGATGGCGGCGCGTTTCACTGTGGGCCAGCTGGTCCTCTAAGCCTTGACCTCAGATAATCCCCATTGGCGCCTCCCAAGTGTAGGATTACAGCATGGGCACTGTCCGGCAACAAGGGATAGTTTTAAAAAATTCTCCTTTACAGTTTTACGGTCAGCTACGGTGTTTTATCTAGTTCCTGATGAAAGGGGGAAAAGTGCCACATTTTAACATACCTGACATCGCAAGAGCAGAACCGGGCTTACTTTTCTGTGCTGCCATCTGCTGAACTGGCTTCCCATTGCTCGGATTCACCTGCCTGGAGCCAGAGTGGGCCTCTAGATGTAGTGGCATGCCTTCAACTGCCTTTCCTCTTAAAAGAGCCAAAAAGAAAATAATCTTATGGCAAATATCTCTCAGCTGCTGTCCCGCTGGTTTTTATTAAAAACAGTTTTTTCAGGGTTATAACTGAGGGACATACTGTGACTTGGACGCCACCATTTGGCGGCGACTTGTTGGTGAAAACGTCTCAGACACTTTTAGTGCTCTGGAGGCACTGGGGAACAACTACAGAATCTCCTAAAAGTCAAAGTTAAAAACCTTCATCCGAAGTCTTACACGTGTTAAAACTGAGTTTTTATGAACGCATCTTTACTGTGTAGCAACCAAAAAGTCATTTTACAAGTGTGGAACTAAGATCGATGCTGATACAACACTGTATTGATCTGCACCATTCATTGTTCTATGTAAGGTAGTTTTGATGACTTGGTCTAAATAGGGAGCTATGGGACCTCACTGGGCCTTTGCTATTAACATGGCTGTTTACTATGTTTGAATTTTATTTGGTATATTTATGTCATTTTTAAGCGTTGTCTCCTGAAAGCCAAATTTGCTGACTAGGCATTAAATCATTTTTCTAGTCTTTTTATAAGAATAAAGCCTGTATTATTGAGCAAGAAACATCAGAGAATGTTGTGTAAGTAAGCATTCTATTAAACTTCCAGAAGTTTATGCCAACATGTCCTAGTATTCCAGTCTCCAAGTTTTAGATTCCCCTAAAGTTACACCACTGAGTGAAGTAATACTTCTTATTAGCTTATTTGTGTGGTGATAGCAGTCTTTCTATATGTTTCTCCATGTTATTTCATGTCTTGCAGGTAAAGACATTTGGGGAGACACATCCTTTCACCAAACTTGTGGTTGATCTGACAGATGTAGACCCTGATGTAGCTTATTCTTCAGTTCCCTATGAGAAGGGCTTTGCTTTACTTTTTTACCTTGAACAACTGCTTGGAGGACCAGGTAAGTAGTTGGTATTTTATGATTTTTGTTTTCTTTTTGAGGGCAATGTGAAAATTAGGAAGAATTGTAAACTATTGTTTTGTTCCATTTAATACTTCTAATTCATTCTGGATGTAGCTGCTGAAGAGATCTGTATTGTTTTCTAAGTTATCTCTTGACCTAAAACCATTAATAACCTCTAAGGTTTAAATTATGCTGCTTCATTTTTTAAACAATCTCATCAGTTTTTGAAATGAGGATAATAGTATGTACTCCCTGAAAACATTTCTATGGTACAGAAGTTTTTAAGAGTAACAAGTGAAAGTCCGTCAACCTCTTTCCATTCCCCAGGGGTAACCACTGTTAGCAGTTTAATGTATATGGCTCCAGATCATTTTCTAGGTGTAAATTAACAAACAGACACATAAATACATATAGTTGTTTTAATTACAAAAAAGGATCATGCTATATATTGGCTCAACATTTGTGTTTTGTTTTGCTCGGTATTTCACATACACCCGTCTATGTCAATACGTATAAATCTGCCTCATACTTTTTAATGACATCATACTATTTCACGATAAAGCTATGCTGAGTTATGTACCCATCCCCCACTGATAGACATTGAGGTGTTCTCCTTGGTTGGTTGACTGACTTGGAAGGCTGTCTTGTCACCTGAATCCATTCTGCCTGTCCAGTCTTATTTTTCTTTCTAGTCATATGAAGGTTATAGCTTTTAGAACTTGGGTTATGCATTCCTTTTCTGTGTCTTCATGTATTATCCCCTTACCTATAATTAGAATTTCTCTTCTCCCTTCCACTGAATTACATATATTCTTCAAGGCCCAGCTTAAGTCCCACCTCCTTTTCTGAACATTCTTTCACTCTGAAAGTCCTCATAGATTTCCCTATTCTCTGAATGTTCTCTGTTCTCTGTGGTTAATAGTACAGTGCCAAACACACACACACAAAATGTCAAATAATTACCTTTCTATGAATTGATTTTCTTTTTTACTCTTAGAGCTTTTCCTAGGATTCTTAAAAGCTTATGTTGAGAAGTTTTCCTATAAGAGCATAACTACTGATGACTGGAAGGATTTCCTGTATTCCTATTTTAAAGATAAGGTTGGATTTAAAAACCTTTTCTATTTTTCATTCTCAATGTATCTCTATTTATTGACTGATTAGGTTAACTTGAATTATCTAATAGTAGTATTGGTTCAGAACTTGTTTTAGGACTCAACCTCTCATTGCATATTTTTTCTGTTTTTTTTTTTTTTTTTTGAGACAGAGTCTGGCTCTGTCGCCCAGGCTGGAGTGCAGTGGCCGGATCTCAGCTCACTGCAAGCTCCGCCTCGCGGGTTTTCGCCATTCTCCTGGCTCAGCCTCCCGAGTAGCTGGGACTACAGGCATCCGCCACCTCACCCGGCTAGTTTTTTGTATTTTTTTAGTAGAGATGGGGTTTCACCGTGTTAGCCAGGATGGTCTTGATCTCCTGACCTTGTGATCCGCCCGTCTCGGCCTCCCAAAGTGCTGGGATTACAGGCTTGAGCCACCGCGCCCGGCCTATTTTTTCTGTTTTAAATGTGATCTTAACTACATGAACTACCTGTAGAATTTTCCTGTTTCAGAGAGATCATCAATAGTATGGTTCAGAATTTGATTTTTTACAAGTACTTAATTTTCCTGTTTTAATTATTTAACAGCACACTAGTGATTAATATAACTTTTAGAAGATAAAGCTAGATGAGGTAATGGATATATTAATTAGCTTGACTTAGTTCATATTGAATATATATATCAAAACATCGCATTGTGTCACATAAGTATACACAATTATGATATATCCATTTAAAATATTAATGTTTAAAAAAGTGATTTAGAAATTATCTTGATTTGGCAGATTAGACAAAATTATATATCTAAGGACTTATAAGTTTAAGTTTTTTTTCCAACAGGAAAGGGCATTCTATTGTAAACTGTGAATTCTTACTATTCATAGGTTGATGTTCTCAATCAAGTTGATTGGAATGCCTGGCTCTACTCTCCTGGACTGCCTCCCATAAAACCCAAGTAAGTAGTTGCCTGCTAATGCTTTCCTTCTCATTCTCCTAACTCCTAGAGAGCCTCAAAATATCTGAAAGAATAGTATGCCTTCCTGAAACTGTTACTAGTTAATGATGAGAGCAGAGTTCTTAGGTGTTTTGGCCTTCACCCTGAGGCCAAAAGAATAATTTCCACAGTTTGCAAATATGATTTTTTACTTCAAGTAACTGAGTGCCTCCTTTCTGCACAAGGATGGTGAGGGATTTAGAAAATAAGCTATTGTATCTTCCTTCAAACTTCTGCAATAAAAATATTTTATAAGTATTATGTTAATTACAACACTTATAAGTTATTATCCCCTTTTCCCAAGGAGGTAAGTTAGGATTAGCTAGGTAAAGTGGCTTGCCCTAGGTTGCACAGCTAGTAAGTAGTAAAAGTTGAGATTCAAACCCTGGCAGTCTTATTGCCTCCGGTATACTGCTTTCTTTCTTTTTTCTTTTTTCTTGGAAACAGGGTCTCACTCTGTGGCCCAGGCTGGCATGCAGTGATATGATCTTAACTCACTGTAACCTCTGCCTCCCGGGCTCAAGTGATCCTCCCACCTCAGCCTTGCAAGTAGCTGGGACCACAGATATGCACTACCACACCCAGCTAAGTTTTTGTATTTTTGCTAGAGGTGGGGTTTCACAACATTGCCCAGGCTGGTCTCAAACTCCTGAGCTCAAACGAGCCACCTACCTTTGTCTCCCAAGTGTTGGGATTACAGGTGTGAGCCACTGTGCCTGGCCTGCTTTTTTTATACTGCTTTTTTATACTGAACCCTCTCCTTCAATTGGACCTGAACCCTGGTCTTTCATGAGTTGTGTGAGGACACTGACCATGGCATGTTCCAGTCTCTTGTTGCCTTTCTTTTGGATCACCAAAATTGCCTACCAGCTTCTCTTACACTAAACAGGCCAGTTTAATTGATTTGCAGGGAGCAGCAGGAGAGAAGCTAGGAAACAAGATGAGGCCTGGTCACGTTTGTTTGTACAGCACTTTAAACAGCCAGGCTGAGAAGTGTTTGGTTGAGAAGTTACTGGGAGTTTTGAGTATGGAACAGATGTGGTCAGAGTGCCCCACTGACTGGGCAGTTGTGGTTATCATAGGCTGTGGTGGGAAACAGGAGCTCAGATAGGGAGGGGTGATTACAATAGAATGTTTCGAATTTTGTTTTGGAAACAGGTGGCACAAATCGTCAGTAAACCCTTTTAACGTTTAAAAAAGGTATCAGCTCCTAGCACTTCATTAGGAAGTGCCATACATTATCTCGTTAATTCTTACAACAGCCTTACCAGAGATTATGAGGACCTGAAGTAATAAAAAGGCAGTGGGAAAAGAAAGGCGTAACTGAGAGGAGAGACATTTTCGGGCTAGAATCTATTGGCCACTGATTGGCTGTGGTGAGAAAAGAAGAAATTAAAAATGACTGAGCAGAGATGTAGTAAAGATTCAGCTCAATCCAGCACACATTTATTGTCAGGCACTAATATGATGAATAAGGAACTCACAGAGCAAACTTGTATGTGTCAAGTAATTATAATACAATGAAAAGTATTTTTTAAAAAAATATTAAGTATTGCAGGTGAGAAAACTATTAATTTTAATGGTGATGGATTTGGACATTGTCGTGGAGATGACTCACAAAGAAGAATACAAGAAGTAAAGTTTAGAACCTTAGAGGATCTTCGTTTTAGAGCTGGGACAGAGGAAAGGTAGCAAAATAAATGGAAAACTAAAAAGAGCTTTCAAAGGTTAATTCATTAAGAAAGCTGTGGGAAGAAATAATTTAAAAGTGGTATGGAGAGTGGTCAGCAGTCTGGTGTGCTGTACAACTATGAGGAGCCTGAGAATAAAAGCATAGAATTTGGAGTTTGGAGTCTTTCAAGGACTCTAACTTCAGGGGCCTGATAAAGTCAAAAGACAGTTCCAGGAAGTTTAGGAGTGGAGAAGTCTCTGACATTTGCTTTTAAAATTAGAGAAATCTGGGTGGAAAATTAGTTCTTCAAAAGTGTTTCTTTGATATCACCACTGCTAAGGGATCTTTTTTGGGCCTTGGTTCATTCTAGATCCCTTATGATTGCTTTCAAGTAATGCCAAAGTGCTGGAGGAACCCTGGAATCATTCCCGTACCCGCGATTCTGTAAAAGAGTATCTTAGAAAATCTCAAACCACAGAAAATCCTCTTTTGATAATGCTCTCATCATTTGTATATGATTTAAATATCTGAGTCTATCCACATCTCTCCATTTCTACTACCACTGTTAAGTTCAGTATCACATCTTCACACCCTGGAAGACGGTTCTGGCACCCAAACTGTGTACTTGTATCTGTTCTGACTTCTTCCAGCCACTCTCCACACTAGAGCTAGAGTAAATCCATGAGAGCAAGGACTTTGTGTTGTTCATCTTGTTGTCTTGAGTGCCTAGAACTGTTCCTGCCATATAGTAAATATGCTCAACTGATTCCAACTACTTTAACATAGACTACTTGAGCACATGACAGTCTTTTGCTGAGGTGCTTTGGCATTCTTTCCAAAAGATAGATGAGTGTTTCAGTAATGTGGTATCCATTTGGATTTGTGAGTTCTTGGATGATGCCAGTAGTATGTAAGTTAGGTAAAATATTTTCTGTTTTCATCACTTTGGAGTTTGTTTTCCTTATTTAAAAAGGACTTTGAAATTTAAGTATGTACCGTAGCTTTAAAACTGCATTTCTGCAAAAGCATGTGCATTTTTATACAATTTAATCTTTACCTTTTATCTTTGCAGTTATGATATGACTCTGACAAATGCTTGTATTGCCTTAAGTCAAAGATGGATTACTGTAAGTAATAATGTGTGATTTTGATTCCTTTTTGAATTGTGCAAATATGTCTTTACTCATGAAGCAGGGAGGGTATTTAAATCACAAACAGTTATATTTGGAAAGGCTATTTGAAAGTCAGGTTTATCTAAGGTGATATTGTATCTACTCTCAATATAGAAAATTAAGGGTTTGAGACAGGGTCTTGCTCTGTTGCCCAGGCTGGAGTACAGTGGCGTGATCATGGCTCATTGCAGCCTCAACCTCCTGGGCTCAGTCAGTCATCCCACCTCAGCCTCCTGAGTAACTGGGACTACAGGCATCCGCCACCATGCCTGCCTAATTTAAAACTTTTTGTACAAACAGAGTCTATGTTGTACAGGCTGGTCTCAAACTCCTGGTCTCCAGTGATCCTCCCACCTTAGCCTCTCAGAGTGCTGGAATTACAGGCATGAGCCATTGTGCCCAACCTAGAAAATTAAGTTTTATGGGGGGAAAAAATAGATGTTAAAGGCATTAATACTGATTTTTCTTGCTTCTTAACTCTTGAAAAAAAGTATGCAAAAATATTTGCATCTTACCTTTCTTCTTTTCCTTTTAAATCATTTATAAGATACTGCTTCCGATACAGCAATTTCACATACCAGGTACATCTAAAATGATCTTGGGTGACCAACTGCTGACTATTAGTGGTAGAAAGAATCGAGGCACTTTTGCTCTGTCAATAACTTTGTTCACTTTCTATGAAGCTTCTTAAAGAGGAGCTTCTTCATATATGTACTAAAATATAATCCTTTACTGAAGCCAAAGTAAGAATGTGCCCTTGATAATTCTTTAATGAAGAATAACAGAAAATTTAGGAATACTTTTATTCCTATTAATTTGCAACAGATTTATAATGTTTTAAGTAATATCAACTTTTGAGTTCAGGGGGCACATGTGCAGGTTTGTCACACGTGCATATTGTGTGCTGCTGAGGTTTGGGGTATGATGATCCCATCACCCACGTACTGACATAGTACCCAATAGTTTTTCAGCCTTTGCCCTGCTCCCAGTAGTCCCAGCATCTATTGTTGCCACTTTTATTTCCGTGAGTACACCGTCGTTTAGCTCTCACATATATGTGAGAACATGCTGTATTTGGTTTTCTGTTCCTGTGTTAATTTGCTTGGATAATGGCCTCCAACTGTGCAATCAGTTTAGCAATTGCCTTTTAAAACTTGTTTCTAAAGTTTACTTGACCATTATTTCTTCACATCTTTCTATATACAAAATGCTGCATCACACACTATGAAAAATACAGAGATGGACTTACCTTTGAAGCATCTATTGTTTAATTAAGACATTAGATTCACACAGAAATAACAAATGCAAAGTAGATCACCTGAGCCCAGGGGTTCGAGACCAGCCTGGCCAACATGGCGAAACCCCATGTCTACTAAAGATACAAAAACTAGCCATGTGTGGTGGTGCACACCTATAACCCCAGCTACTCGGGAGGTTGAGGCACGAGAATTGCTTGGACCCACGAGGCAGATGTTGCAGTGAGCTGAGATCACACCATTGTACTCCAGCCTGGGTGACAGAGCAATTCTCCATCTCAAAAAAAAAAAGAGTTGAGAGACTTTTGAAGTTTAATTTTATAACTAAGAACTTGAGAACCGATTAGACGTGGAGAAGAAGAAAACGGAGTAGAAAGCTTCAGGTACTGGCAGAACATCCTTAGAGCCAGAAGACGGAAGAAAAACGAAATCAGGAGTAAGGCAAATCAGGAAAAATGGAACCAGAAACCAAGGGAAGCAACACTCCAATTTAAAATAAAATATAAACATCTTTTTGGAGACTTTTATAACATCATAACAAAGATAGAGCATTACTAATTACTATTCGGATCTAAGGTCAAGTCTGTTTGTTCTGGATTTTTTTTTTTCTTTTTTGGAAGGAAGTAATAAAATCTTCTAGTAGCTACCTATCAGAAAGGTAGGCTGGTTGTGTCCATAGATACTTCACCTGTCAATACTCGGCCTGGAATAGTGTTGAGTTTATATTGGAGGAATGGTTTCATTGTGTGCTTTTTCAAATAAGGCTTATTTCTGTCCAAGAGAGACGTCTGGTAACACATCTTGCCACAGATAATGCTTTGTTCTTCTGTAATACCTGTGTCTTGAACTTTATGTTTTGTGTAGTTGACAAACTTGTCATGAAGAAAAGTATGAGAGATTCCTGTGGGAAACAGGATTTTTTAGCAGTGTGTGTTCGAATCCTCTGTTTTAGTTTGAAAAATGTATTCCAGCTTATTTGGTGCTAGAGAAAACTGCTACTAATTTCTGCTCAAATATTCCTTTGGGCCCAGCAGTTAAGGTGGATAATGATCAACTCTTCAATATTAGTAGAAACAGGCAGTGTTAGAAACAGATTCAGGACACTGTATTCACTAGTGCACTCTTTTCCTTATGTATTTTATTTCTCAATGATTTGTCTTAAATAGTAAATACATGCAAAAGAATATTTATAACATATTTCTAAGTGTAAAAAACAATTGTAAAGCAAGACCTGTGTGACGCACCACTAGCATAAGAAGTCAAATCTTGCCGGTACCTCTGTAGCATCCCTCCCCATCTTATTCCCTTCTCCATCCTCCTTGCTGACCCATCCAGGTAACCACTGTCCTGAATTTTGGTTTATCATTCTCTTGCTTTTTATGTTTTTACAACATAAACATATCCTTAATTAATATATAGTTTAGATTTGCAGGGTTTTGCACAGAAAATGAGCTGGAGCTGTACATTCTCATATTAAGGATAAGTTGTAAAGGGAAAAGAAGTATTGCTATTAAGGAGAATTCTGAAGAGGGGAAGATGCAAAATATTTCTTTAAAAGGGTATATGCCTATGCATTAAATTTAGTGGAAGGATATATAGAAACTATGAATATTGGTTACTGAGGAGTAGTACTTGGAAACAGGGAGCAAAACCAAAAGAATTTTTCCTTCTGTCCTATTTGATTTTTTAGTATTTGCATGTATTTCTTTTAAAGTAACAAAAGCCCTAGTTTAGAAGAATATAAAACTAGTTTTAAAATATTTTAAAATCCTTATTTTGATCAGCTTTATTTAATATTGCTTAATCATCATCTCAAAGATTTTTGAGAGTAAATCCAAATTTGAAAAGTGCAGACTCATTTTTGTTTTTCTTAGATGGTTTCTAGATTGAGTGGGGAAAACAGAATATGTGGGGATGGAGGAAAACGTTAGTTTATGGTCTTATGAATTTATTAATGTAATATGTAAAAATACACAATTTCATTCTTTACATTTTTGAATTGGTCTGTAAATTAGTCAACATGCATACATTTTGAAATGTTTCTTTACTTTGGAAATTTCTATACCTCAAATGGTACAATGAATGTTAACAGTTTCTTCCACTCTTCCTACCCATAATCTACTTTTTCTTAAGTAATATAGATTCTAGGAGTCATATCAGCTATTTAAATTATAGTAACTCAATCTCAGGATTACTTAAGTAACTCAGGCATAAATTTATTTTGAATAATCTTATGCATTCATATGGTTCTTTTTCTCAATTTTTACTTGTATGTTAGATAAACCAATAAGTATTACTAAATTGTACTTGAACAAAAATAACTAGCTAAATTTATTTTAGGCCAAAGAAGAAGATTTAAATTCATTCAATGCCACAGACTTGAAAGATCTCTCCTCTCATCAGTTGAATGAGTTTTTAGCACAGATGCTCCAGAGGGTAAGTACTAGCTCAAAAGCTTAGAAATTAAAATGGACAGAAAGGCACAGCATTTATGTTCTACCCAACTTGGCAAAAAGATTATTAATGTGGAAACTAATGGGGAAAAAATCATTTATAAAACTCATTCATTTCTTTAAAAAAGCTTACTGTGTTTTATATTGTGCTAAATATGAAAATATGTAAGAAAGGATATACCTTATCTTCAAATAGCTTATAGTCTTGTAGGAAGGGGAACACATGCAAAATTTAGCAATAAGCCAGGCGCGGTGGCTCACATCTGTAATCCCAGCACTTTGGGAGGCCGAGGCGGGCAGATCACTTGAAGTCAGGAGTTCGAGACCAGCCTGGCCAACATGGTGAAATCGTCTCTACTAAAAATACAAAAATTAGCTGGGCATGGTGGCAGGTGCCTGTAATCCCAGCTACTTGGGAGGCTGAGGCAGGAGAATCACTTGGACTGGGAGTCAGAGGTTGCAGTGAGCTGAGATCACACCCGTCTACTCCAGCCTGAGCAACAGAGTGAAACTCCATCTCGTAAATTTTTTTTTTTAAATTAGCAATAAAAGGAGGTATACTTTAGGTGTCATTTGGAAAAACTTAATTAGTGAAAGACTCTCTTCCAACTGGGGGCATCAGAGAGGGAATTTTGGAGGAGACTTGATTTGCACCCCTAGGGCTAGCAGGAGGTAGAAATTCAAGGTGGAAGGAGCAGCAAGGGCTGGAATTCGTCTGCAGCATTGCTGGAGTAAACAGTAGCACTGGGTAAGGAAGTCAGTGAAGGTAACACTAGAAAAGCTAGTAGAACCAGATGTGATGACTCTTGAATGCTAAGCTAAGAAATTTTAGATCTTACACTGATCAGGATGAAATGCTGGGTTGTGAAAACTAATCTGGGGCCATGAAGGCTGCATGGTGGTGAAGTTACTAGTTGGGAGACTGGCAGGAGTACTGGACTTGAGAGAGTGAGTTGCAGGGAGAGGAGAGAATGAGACGTGAGAAAGAGGTTACATAAGGTGAAAGCACAGAGCTCTATGACTGATGGGATATAGGGGTTAACAGTAAAGAATCCTGCAGATTTTAAGGTTTTGAATCTAGAAAATTGAAAGAATAGAAGAAACCGAAAGGAGATGCTGCATTTTGAGATAAACCAATGACTGGATTTTAAAGACTTCTATGAAAGGGAAGTCTTCAGTCTAAGCACCTTGAGAAGGAAGATTTGGAGCGGAATTTCCTGTGGAATTGATGCAAAAATTAGGAATAAGATTTTGAGGCAACAAGGGCCACATCAAAGTAAGAGGGAATCTATTTTTAGTGCATCGGATCATCATGGTTTCATAAATTGCTCTACCACTGGTGGGTGGCCTAGGGTCACAGAGAGAACATGGTAGGGTGATTCTGGAATGGGTATGGCAAAACTTAGGGCAAGTCGGGGAGCCTTGGAGATGACCTTAACCAGTTGGTCTACCAGGGTGGACTTGGAGTTGCATGTGTCCATAAGGGGCTAATGGACTAAATTATTTGCATCAGGGTTAGTAGTTCATGAGAGCAGAGATGGTTAGTGAGTATGGAGTCCTGTAAGGTAAGGAGGTCGTGGTTGGAGGGGAGAGTTATCATCTACCTAGAGGTACCTCTGCCTGTACTCACAGGCACTGCAAACTCTCTGCTTGTCCAAACTGAACTCATCGTTTTTCTTTCCTTCACCCAAATTTGTCCTCCCTTTTAGGGTGAGTTAAGGTAAGGATAGGATGCTTATGAAACCCCTGAAATTGTATACAGAAGTTTGTATTCGTGTAGTAAGTGTATTTTCACCCCTACGGAAAGAGTCCACATTATTCATCAGATTCCCAAAGAGGTCTATAATACCAACATTTAAGAACTGCTAGGGATGTAGATAATTTAAGAGGGATTTCAGGGGAAATATACAAAGATAAAGCTAGGGGGAATCAGGCAAAAAATTAAGGAACTATGATTTAATCTGGAGAATGGAATGCATTTAAGATATATAAGGTATGGAGAATAACTAGAAAAAGTCTAGGAAAAGTCTGAAAGATAATATTTATACATGCTAAAAAGTCTAAGAAGAGCAATTCTCATTTAATTCTGAGTACTTCACAAAGTAAATTATCCCTGTGCTCCCAGTAGAATATCCTCATCCAGAATAAGTTTGCACAGAATTTACTTTAGTGTGCAATTTGTTTCTTTTATTTTTATCTAATTTATTTCTATATTATAAAATATTTAGGATTTTAATCTGGCTATGCATTTCTCTCCAGCTCCTTTCTTCCAAGGAATCCTGTTGAAATGATACGGTATACTTCTTTATTTTGCTCTTAGGCACCTCTTCCATTGGGGCACATAAAGCGAATGCAAGAGGTGTACAACTTCAATGCCATTAACAATTCTGAAATACGATTCAGGTACATCATTTTAACTTGTCTCTGTGGAAGAAAGCAGAAAATTCCTTTGAAAGGTGGAGAAAGGGAATGCAGAGTATGAGACATACTTGAGTCTTGAGAAGTCCTTGTCAAACTGACTGCTTCTGTGTAAATACTTACAGTGATATTTAAGGAATAGTTGCAATGTGTAAGCTGATAGTATTAATCTTTTCATTAGACTTTGCTCTAAACCTCTCTTACCTTAAAAGAAAAAAAAAATGAGAATGAAGGATTCCGTGGTAAATAGGCTTTCTCCACAACCAACTAAATCTACTTTGAAATAGGAATAGTTAGAAATATTTTATTCTATTATATGTTAATCTTTCTTAATTCAAATTTGTAATGTGAGGCTTAAACCAAAGTTTAATTCCTTCAGAAATTGCATTTACAAGGTATGTGAGCACCTACTGATCCAGACCTTTTAAAATATATGATCTTTTTCAAGAACTGGCTCCTCTTCTTTCTCTTCACCAATTATTAAATTGTATATATAAGGATTTGAGAGTCTCAGAATCAAGACATACCATAAAGTGGTGTACAGTATAACTATAGTGGGGTTATTCATCACTACAGAAGTAATATTAAGATATACCTGTCATATCCTGCCCCTTCCTCATTTCTACCCCATGCTCCCCCTAAATCCTCCTTTTAGATGGCTGCGGCTCTGCATTCAATCCAAGTGGGAGGACGCAATTCCTTTGGCGCTAAAGATGGCAACTGAACAAGGGAGAATGAAGTTTACCCGGCCCTTATTCAAGTAAGAACCCACTCAGACTGTGCTTTGAATTCATCTAAGAAATAGGAAGAAAACTCTCAAATGTTTAAACATAATCTATATGGCAGATATTTTTTGTTAAAGTTTGTCAATATAATTTTGGAATAGGGATTCACACTTACAAATAGTTGAAATTTGAAATAATTTCATTCCTTTTTTTAGAAACATTATATATGGATTACCTATTTTGAGCCAAATAGAGTTAGACACTGATGAAATGGAAATAAATCAAAGATAGGCTTATATACACAAAGATTTTTAAAGGCAACTAGAAGATAGCTGGTAGGTAGGTATAGACAAGAAAGAGAGTCTGGAGTTAAATGTAAGGAGAAATAAGCAGATAAAGCTAACTGTTTTGTGTTCAAATGTTGCATAGAGGTCAAAGGTAGGTTGCTTGACATAGTAAAGGAATGCTTGGTAAAGGGGGGATAAGTTGTATCTTCACAGCAAGATACAAGTTAAGAATATCTCAAGAAAAAAAAAAAAGAATATCTCAGTGAAGTTCTTTATCTATGAATTTTGTCCAAATTCTGGGAAAAAAAATCAGTCCATAAATATCCGTGATTACTTTTGTTTGCTTTTCATTTACTTCACAAGTATTTAGATTGGTGCAAAAGTAATTGTAGTTTTGGCCATCAAAAGTGATGGCAATATAATAATAATATCATAAAACTTGGCAAAATAAGTCATTATCTCTTTTTTGATGCGACCACAAAATTAATTTTTAAGTATATTTTATATGCTTTCCATAATTAAAACCCATCTAGCTTTGAATTGAGTCAAATATACTTTAAATAGGTTTTTGAATAAGAGTATACTTGCGCTGGGCGCGGTGGCTCACGCCTGTAATCTCAGCACTTTGGGAGGCCAAGGCAGGCAGATCACGAGGTCAGGAGTTTGAGACCAGCCTGGCCAATATAGTGAAACCCCATCTCCACTAAAAATACAAAAAATTAGCCAGGTGTGGTGGCCGGTGCCTATAATCCTAGTTACTTGGGAGACTGAGGCAGGAGAATCGCTTGAACCTGGGAGGCGGAGGTTGCAGTGAGCTGTGATTGCGCCATTGCACTCCATCCCCTCTAGCCCGAGTGACAGTGGAAGACTCTGTCTCAAAAAAAAAAAATGAATAAAATAAATAAGAATACAGCTTTTGTGGGAAAAATAAATATTTCTGTTTTATGATGTTTATAGTAGTTAACATTAAAAATGACTAATCCTACCTTTTGTATGGTAGGTCCTGTTTAGTGTATTTATTATTTATTGTTTATTTATGTATTTATTATTATTTCACTGTGATCAGGATTTTTACTCTCAATTATTTGAAGTTTTCAGAAATTCTATTTATAAATTTAGTGTTTTCATACTCTTAAAATCTTGATTAAAAAATTTTTTTTAAAGCAGTTTTTAGAAAGAAAGCCTTTGAGGCACAGTCTCACATACTGGGCCGATATTTAGCCAGTAGATTAGAGGACACTGTTCAAATAATAAAATACTTCCATGCTGCTTGGTAAATAGCCACTGGTCCCAGCCACTCTAGCCCTTCCCTGTAACTCGCTGCAAAATGTCTGATCTGCCAGTATAAGGGCCAGTCTCTGGTACAGAAGGAGGCCTCTGGGACCCTGTGGCAGGACCATACCCATCTGATTGGCTGGGACTGGTACCTTATTTGGGTGACATTGGCTGTCACCCCTGCTGACATCCTTTAATTTAATCTTGGGTATTGACTTATGTTCTTATTCTCTTTCTCCTTTCCTTTTCCCCTCCTTTGAACCCCTTCCCTCCTTTCTTTCTTCCCTCCCTTTCTCCTGTTCTGTCTCTTTCTCGCCTTTCTTTCTTTTCAATTTTTTCTTTTTTGGCAGGGATCTTACTGCCTTTGACAAATCCCATGATCAAGCCGTCCAAACCTACCAAGAGCACAAAGCAAGCATGCATCCCGTGACTGCAATGCTGGTGGGGAAAGACTTAAAAGTGGATTAAAGACCTGCCTATCGATGATTTTAGAGATTTCTCTTTTTTAAACGGAATTCGTAAAGAAATATAAAACTTCAGCTCACAATTAAAACTGTCTTTTTAGTTTTGACTTTTTATTGTTTTGTTGGTGATTTTACTAAAATAAAGTTGAGGTACTTCTTCTTATAGTGGCATATTCTTTGTAAATTTTAACAAGGTTTAATCTTTTGATTTACAAATTTAAAGATTTTAAATTAGCTTTATATTAATTTTCTCCCAGTATGATCAAAAAATATGTCAAGGTAGTATTTTACCTGATATATGATTTAAATTCATTAATTTGAATCTGCTGCAGATTCAAAAATTCAACATGATTAGGATTTTGCTTTGCTTTTTAAATAACCTTAAACATGAGGCTGAATGCGGTGGCTCATGCCTGTAATCCCACACTCTGGGAGGCTGAGGCAGGTGGATCACCTGAGGTCAGGAGTTTGAGACCAGCCTGGCCAACATGGTGAAACCCCGTCTCTACTAAAAATACAAAAATTAGCTGGGCATGGTGGCACGACTGTAATTCCAGCTACCCAGGAGGCTGAGGGAGGGGAATCACTTTAACCTGGGAGGCTGAGGTTGTAGTGAGGCGAGATGGCGCCATTGCACTCCAGCCTGGACAACAGAGGGAGACTTTGCGTTGAAAAATAAAAAATAAAAAAAACCCTTAAACATGAATGCTCAGTTGTATTTGCACACCACCTACCTGGTGGACAGCAGATGAACTCCTTACCAGAATGTGTCAGCCTTAGTGGGAACTCTCAACTCCCTCCTTCTGGACCCCTCCGGCTCATCCAGTGGGCTTGTCCTGGTCTCCTGTCCATCAGGGGTCAGATGGTCACCCTGAGCACCGGTCCTTCCCATCCCTCTGACAGTCTGTTCAAAGACAACAAAATAACTTGAACCAAATAAAAAACATAACAAAGCGCCCCTGCCAATGCAACATAGTGCCCCAGGGCACCTCAGCACACATAGCTGTATTAGGTAGAATTATTAGTGTATTAGCTCTATTAGTTAGAATTAATTAGAACCATAGCTGTGTTAGAATTCTTTGATTGAAAGTAACAGCAATCTAAGTGACCAGAAGTCATAAAGGGAAAAGGAAGATTATTTTAAGGATACAAGGTACGGGGAGATTATCAGAACCTGGGATGGACAGAAGGGGTCTGCCCAGGCCTGCAGCACCATTGTCCCTCACTTCTGCCTCTCTAGTCCACATACAGGCTGGCCACTCTCCAGCTTTACTGTTGCAAATAGCTCTGACGACAGGGAGAGGCTATCGCAATTCCAAATTCCCAGAGGTGAGACTCTGACCCGGGTTGGGTCCACTGATACGGTCAAATAAATTGTGTAAGAGGAATGGTGTCTTAAGAGTATCATTGTTGGCATGGGGTGGGGGCAGGGGGCGGTGTCCAATCCCTCAAAGTGCTAATGCAGTCACTAAAGTTACAATAGGAGCGAACACCCAAGGTGGGGCAGGTATGGAAGAGACATATTCCTGCCTATTCCCAGAATCCTGACTTCTCCCTGGCTCTCACTCTCCTTAGCAGTTTTGTTTTGTTTTGTTTTGTTTTGAGACAAGGTGCCACTCCGTCACCCAGGCTGGAGTGCAGTGGCATGACCACAGCTCACTGCAGCATCAGCCTCCTGGGTTCAAGCCATCCTCCCACCTCAGCCTCTGGCGTAGCTGAGACTACAGGCATGCAACACCATGTCTGGCTAATTTTTGTTTTGTTTCGTAGAGACAAGAGTTTGGCCACATTGCCCAGGCTGGTCTCGAACTCCTGCGCTCAAGCCATCTGCCCGCCTCGTTCTGTCCTCTTGGTCACTTATCTACACTGCAGTGTGATTCTTTCTCCAGGCTCTGTTCTCACTTGTCTTCCTTGTCAGGAATACAGAGAACGGAGTTCAGCTCCAATCACTGGCATAAGATCACGTTCTAAGATTAGACTTGAGCAAATCCATTTACCCAAATAGTGCTCTTAAAGGCTTCTGCCCTATGAGCTTACAAGACAAGCTCTAAGTTAATGTCATTTTTAGTTATCACTTAGTGATACTGAAAGTGAATTGGGACAAGGGATGCTTGATGGGGTAGTGTGGAAGGGCTCTGTGAAGAAGGTAGAGGGCGCTAAAGACAAACTTAATCCTTCTTGCTGGTTTACCTACGGGCCAGCTCAGTGCATTTCACATTTCTTCAGTTCAGCTAGTAAGCACTTGCTGAGTGTCTTTGTGCCAGGTCGGATATATACGTAATTATAGATGAACACAGACAAGTAATTTCTAGAATACTAAAGAAGAGCTATGCCAAGGCATCCCAGAGAAGGGCCACTTAACCCAACCCAAGAATTTAGGGAATGCTTCCTGGAGAAGAAAAGGCCTAAACAGGCGTAAGAAGTAAGAAAGATCTAGCCAGGCAAAGGAAGTTGGAAAGTGTGTTCCCGGAGAAAGAATAACATGGAAGTCTCTGCTCCACAATGCGTAGGGCCTGAGTTTAGAATCCTCAAACTGCTGGGGGTGACTTATATGACTGGGAGCTGGTATCATCTGCAAGCTCCTTGCCTCACTAGTCTGATGTCTGGGCTGAAATTACTCAGAAGCTGGACTCAGCAGTGACTGTCAACTCGGGCACACAGGAGTTTGGGTTTTCTTGCAGCATGAGGATAGTTAGACCTCTTATTAGTCATCTTTATACAGCTTTATCCATCACCAGACAGTAAGCACCATGAAGGTAGAGTGTGTTTGTTATTTATTTCATCCTCAGCACCTCGCATAGAGCTTGTTACATAACAGGTGTTGAAAAAATCTTTGTTAAATGAGTCAAGGAATGAATGGAGGGGGACGGAAGGTTAAGGTGGTTCACATGTGCAGGCCTCAGTTTTCTTACAGATGTGGGAGGTAAGGTCTCCCTCTGAGAATTAGAGGAGGTGGACGTTGAGAAGGTCCTGGCAGAGGGGTCAAAATTTTGGAAAGTCACTGTGGGGTGGACAGAATAAGACGGCAATACCATCAGTCTACGTGATCACAGGACTTTCTCTAGCAATGTCTTCTGCCTGGGTGAACAGATATGGCAGTTTCTTTTTTAAATTTTAAACAGGGTCTTGCTCTTGCCCAGGCTGGAGTACAGTTGTACAATCATAACTCATTGCAGCGTCAGCCTCCTAGGCTTAAGCAATCCTCCCAAGAGATGGCTGTTTTTTGTGATGACTAAGGGGATGGGTGTTACTCCAAGTGTAGACACAGGGTTAGGGATGCAAAGGAATCTCAGAATGCTTAAGAAAGAGTGGTCCAGTGAGAGCAACTAGGGGACCAGCTTCCTAGGAAAGTAAGTGAGGATGCTGGTGGGAAGTGGAGGGACGAAGGGACTGACTGGAGGTCAGGTCCAAGGCTGGCGGTGACTAAAGGAAGGGGGCAGCTGGAAGGTCGTGGTCAGAAGGTGGAATATTGGAATTTCAGATTTCTTAAGTGTGTCAAATTCAGGTCATGACAAATTCCAGGGTGCAGCAATGGTGTGGGTAGCTGAAGAGCAAGTTTCAATAAGGCTCAAGGCAGGGTAGCTATTTGTGTGCTTCCTGGGAAGCTGTCAGCGGATGAGAGGGACTCTGGGTATGAGTGTGGGTGTTTTTCGTGAGCCACCGTGTCTCTCTTCCCAACAGAAGTCTGATTTAGTGGAAATAGACTTTTTAGGATTTTTCTAGTGCAATAATCAAATCTCTGAAAACTGGCTTATGATGAAAACGCTGCTTAGTCAAAATAGCATCCGCATGTCTTTGATGCTTTAATCATGCTATCCAGAGTTCCTTAATACCAGTGGTAATGAGGTGGGTGCAGGGAGCAGTTATCTGTGGTGAAGAAGCTTAATTGGGTGAGGGATATCCATGTGCCAAGATGAAAGACCATTTGTGGAACATTATAGCTATATAATTCATACAGAACATTTATAAAGCATTATAGTTCCACGCAGTATTGGTGTCCAGATACTAGTAATCACAGACACTTCTATAACATTTCCACCATGCCAGGTGCTGCATTGAGGGTTTTACAAATACGAACTGACTTCATCCTCCCAACAGCCCTTTGACAAAGATACTATCATTATCATTATCTTCATTTTACAGATGAGGCAACTGAGGCCCAGAGAAGTCAAATCACTTGCCCACAAGTCATACACTTAGCAAATGGCAGAGCCAGGATTTGATCACACGTAAATCCTGCACATACTGGAGGGAGGCAGTTAGCCCTTCTGATAAGGAAATAGAGGGTAATAGTCACCTAATCAAGGCTAATAAGTAGTGGAGCTGGAGTCTGACATCCATGGCTGTCTGAGACCCTAATCTCCAAGTCAGGGTGGTTCCTTTGCCCAGATGACAACCTTCAGTTGTGAAAATGATCTCTGGCCTTTGCAGTCTTCCCTGGTGGAAAGAAAACTTCAGAAAACCTTACTGGTGACAGGAAGCAGTTGCTCAATACATGTTTGTGGAATAAACAAATGAGTAACGATTGCCACACTCCTGGTGTCACAGTTGGCCAGCAGGACACATTTTACAGTTGGGTAATTTCAGATAAAGACAGGAACATGGTGTTTATAAGCTGCCCTTAATGGCAGAGTACACAGACAGAAACGAGAGCAGAGAGAGAAATTGGGGACCCTGAAGAAAGGGGGCCAGCAGCAGGTAGGTGCCATCAGGGACAAGAACAGCACCTCCCAGGGTAGGAGACCCCAGGCCTTTCTGGCGGCAGGTCTGGATGGAAGGTGGACAGGAGGCTCACCTGCCTGCATCCCCTGCTCCTGCCCCTACTAGGCTACAAAAACCAAAGGGACAGCGGGTACCTCAATACCTCAATAAATGTTTGCCCAATGCATGAATGAGTAAAGGCAAAGGACGGGGAGTGTTTTGAAAGTCTATTCTCGTCCTTCCAGCTGAACACACCCCAGTAGCCACTCCTGCTTAAAGCTCTCCCCTCCTGTGACCAGCTGAGGACCTCAGGCTGCAGCAGAGCTATGCCCAGGTACACGGTGCATGTCCGTGGGGAATGGCTGGCAGTGCCCTGCCAGGACGCGCAGCTCACTGTGGGCTGGCTGGGCCGAGAGGCGGTGAGGCGCTATATCAAGAATAAGCCTGACAATGGTGGCTTCG